ATTGAAAAAATACACAACAAAAGTAAGGCTGAAATAAGGGGATATAGTCGGAGACTCAATAACTGGTTCTAATTCTTCATTCTTCTCTTCCTCCACACACTTTCCCTAGCCCCTTTCTGAGCAATCTAGTTCTTTGCCACTTGACTTTGGCCTTGGTCCTTTGGCCAAAGTGAACAGGCCAGGCGCGTCAGTGTGCCAACGAGAAGAAACCTCACCTACTTTCTGTTGCCCTCTTGTGAGCTCCTCTTGTGTAGCTGCGGTCCCTGTAACACGGACACCACAATAACCACGTGTAGAGATTCCCCAGCCGATGCACAGGCCTGCAGCAATAGGCTGCTCAGCCCGGCTTTGATCAGAGAGGCCCAGTTGACCAGCGCTCTGTGAGCCAATCTTCTATTTTAGACTCCATGTGCTGATTTGGCATAAAGGGAGATATAAGGCCTATAATCTCCTGGCCACCATTTTGAACCCTTGTTTTGTAGAAGGTACTTTTGTATTTTGCTAATCTGCTAGCTCAGCGGCCCTCTGGAATGCTAGGCCCTATGAGACAGGCTCCAGTTCCTGGTGTCCTCCTTTAGGCACTCTGATCTCTTTTATGCTATTGCAATCACAGTGACTTATCTGTGTCTATGTTTTGTCAGTTTGGCCTAGAAAACTATGGGTGCTGTGCAACATGCACAGCATGCAGTGGTCCCAGCTCATATGTTCCAGGGAAGCATTTGGGAAAAATAATCTTTACAACACTTTTTTAATAACCTAAGGAAGAACATGAATCCTATTGGTCAACCATCTCCTTTCCTCCTGAGGTTATCTTTTATCATATTTAATGTCTATTTAATCCAATTTTTACCTGTGATGTATTGTTTTTTTGGGGGGTGGGGGGTTTGAGACAGGGTCTCACTATGTAGTCAAGACTGACCTGGAACTCACTATGTAGCCCAGGCTGGTCTCGAACTCACAGCGATCCTCCTGCCTCAGCCTCCCGAGTGCTGGGATTACAGGCGTTCGCCACCACGCCTGGCATCTCTGATGTATTCTTAAGAACCTCTTCCTTATAGGTCTGGAAGCTCTTTTACATTGCTTAGCAAAATCTCTTTTGGCTACCATTTGTAAGATACTCATCTTTTCCATTTGGCTCCTTCGATTTTTGGAAAGCTATGTATTTCTTATAGTACTCTCTTTGCTTCTGACAGGTAGTGACAATGTTAATTTAACAAAGGCTAATTAGGTTGGTGAATTTCCATTCACCCTGATATTACACAAAATGTGTGTACTTAGCAATGCTGCTCAGCGGTGTCCAGGAAACTGAAATAATATCTGATCATTGCAATAAGCTTCGACCAAAGCATAGGGGAAAAGAAGAGCCTCGAAACAGTCATAGAGGAGTTCAAAGCAAATCATATTTCCATGAAAAATTAATGCAGCATCAAACACCATCGAGCCTGAGACATTTCAGGGAGCTCATGTTATGAAGGTGTAACTCTCACGTTTTATACCTGCACACAATAAAACTATCAAGAGTGTCTGAAAAGCCTGCCTCATTATTTAGAACCTTAAATTGCCAGCCTGCGTTTTTAAAAGTCACATAAAAGAATGGATTTGTGATGTGAGGAACACATTGATTTCCCCACATTCTGTCTCTGGAGTGAAACCAAAAAAAAAAAAAAAAAAAAAGAGGCTTTATCTTAAAGAGCCATCAAGTTCAGTGTTTATGACAATAATAAAAGGTTTTAATAGAGAATGTTCTCAAAGAGATTTGAGTTTTTGCACTGGATGCAATACCAACCTAGGACACTAAGCTTACATGGTGACAAACAGTTATTTGGGGGAAAAAATGGATGCTTTCAAGCAACCATAGGTGATTTATAAGCAAAACAGAATTTCAAGTAGCAGTAGCAGGAAAAATTGAACATCACCATTTTTGCTCTTGACTAGAAGTAATCTACTTCAGTTTATGCCAGCTAACGAGCGTAAGACTGCTCACCAGGAAACTGTGATCTTGTTTTACTCTAAAAAGATAAAAGACTTCCTCAAGGCCACAAGTTTGAGTGCTTTGGCTGTAGGGACCAAAGCTACCCAGCTGGGTGCCAGACACCCAGCCCCATCAGTGTGGCTCACACAAGGCTCTAAGACTTTTTCTTGAATGCTTTCTGTTCCACATATCCCAATTCTCCACTCCCAGCTCCCATAGGCAGCTGTTCTGGTGTACGCGTATTTCTAACTGCATTTAGTTCCTACTTACTGTACACTTATTATGTGCTGGTTCCGAAAGCTAAGAATGCACTCTTGAATACAACAGATTAAAAAGCCCAGCCTGACAGTTTGTAATAGCTAAAACTTGGGAACAGCCCACTTGCCCATCCATTGGAAACTGGATAAAGAAGATGTGGTTTTTCTATAAAGTGGAATACTACTCAGCCATAAAGAATGAGAAATTAGAGTCACTCATAGGAATATGGATGCATATTGAGGATATACTCCTAAGTGAAATAAATAAGCCACACGTGTAAATACTGCGTAGTTTCTCTGGTGTGAAAAACTATAATGGTACATAAGATCCTAATGGTATAAATGACAATGTAAAATAGGAAGAAAAGGGCTAAAGGTGTAGGGAAAGTGGGAAGGGTAGGGGAAGGGGAATAAGGAAAAAGAAAAAATCTGAGAAAATGAAAAAATGGAAATAAAATATTTGTAAATAGGGGAGAGTGGAGGGGGTGAAGGGAGGGCAGGGACAAGGGGAAAAAATGAGAACCAAGACCTGTCATGTAAAGGTACAGGATCCCAATGATGAATGTAACTGTACTGTGTACCTAAAATGTACCAATAAACTCAATGAGGGAAAAAATGTTCAGCCTGCCTGAGCCTATATTTATTTTACTACATGGGGGATACAGAATTTTGAAAGTCAGGGAGGAAATATTAATAAAGGGCAATAAGTGCTCTGGGGGAAAATGAAGCAGAGAAGAGGAGGAGGAGAAGGAAGTGCTCGGGCTGGGGGTGTCATTTAAAGCAGGGTGGCCAGAAAAGACCTCTCTCCAGAGGTGACCTTACAGCAAAGAGCGGAGGAAAGTGCATGCAGGTACCACACGGGTCTCCAAGAAGACTAGGATGGCTTCTGGCTGCTGCGGAGTGTTTCTCCCTGGGCATCTCCCAGACTGGGTTTCTGCCGCTCCGAGACAGACTTCCAGGCTCTGCATGAGCAGCTGACTGGGGGTGATGCTAGAGAGTTTAGTGGGTGCTAGAAGATCAACATCATCCAGAATAAGCATGTTTGCCCACCACCAGCACCCCAAAGGCCAGCACGAGCCTGCCACAGACACTAGAGTTCCAGTTTTCACTGATCTTATTCAAATAAAAGGTCAGTTAATTGCTTTTTAAGGGAAATGCTCTTTTCTACTATTTTGTAATATATGTAACACAAAATTTGCCTTTTAAGTGTGTAACTCAGTAGTATTACATTCATAACATTGGGCAGCTATCAATATTTCTAGAAACGTGAGTCACCCCAAACACTATTGCTTTTAATTTGTATATTCTTTGAGCATTTCTTCACATCACTACATTTACTTGTCATTCTTTTCTTGTTCACCATGAGAAAGCAGATTAAACTACTAACAGAAGAGAAACTCTAAGTACTAATATAGAACCATTGCTTGGATTAAGGCAACCTCAAATATGAATCCTAGATCTTGCTTCATCGGCTGGGTGACCTCAGGAAAATTACTCTCTCTGAGCTCTGATTCCCTTACCTATTGAATGGAGCCAAGGGTTCTGACCCTTCTAGAATCTTCTAAATATTATATGAGCTCATATATGTAAAGGACAATCACCATTCCCAGTAAAACAGTATGAATGGTATATACCAAATATAAATAGTATATACCAACTAGCATTCTTACAATTAATAATATAGTTTATGATGCTTAGCTAGCCATTTCAGCTCAATCTGCCCCGACATAAATGATGGACAGCCGACCTACAATACAACAGCACTGTCCTTTTTACCAACGGACCAAGTGTCAAGATTTGATAGAGGAAGAAACAGGATTGAAAAATAATTTCAATGCAGAGCCAGAGAGAGAAAAAAGGAAGGTCTAACTGCACTGCAACAGTAATCTTAAATGAGGGATAATCCCAGAGCCAGCAGACAAGGGTGGGAGGAGCTAGGTGGGGAGAGTCCCATTCCCAAGCTGCCGGAGTGCACATTCCCCAGCAGGAGGAGGAATTGGCTTTTGGTACCTTCTGCCCTGCTGTGGAAGAGATGCTCTGCCACTCTGATGGGCTTCAGCATCTCAAGGGGCTGCCAGACTTGTTTGGGGTCCGTTTTTTTAAATGCTGGGCTTATGTTAATACATGTTTAAGGTCTGGATCTCTTCTCTTTAACTGTCAACACTAATACACACAAAAAAAAACAAAAGTGGGCAGAATTCACTGATGATGTGAGGTACCCATCGGTAGTCTTTTTTGAAACATGAGTCAGTTTTGCTTCCCACTGTTATTACCGTGTGTCCTGTTACCAGCAGCAAATACCTCAATCATTTCATGAAGCTTGCCAAAATGCAGAAAGGACTGAAACAAAGCAAAACAAAGAGATGGTATCCACATGTAGGAAAAGAAAATATTTTCAATGCAAAAAAAGCTATTCCAGTAGAATAAGCTTACGGCATTTGCATAGGCTTTTTCTGCAGTTTAATTCAGCTGTTCACTAGTATTTGAGACAGAAAGAAAAAATCGTCCCTGCTTAAGTAGTTTTGAAGTATATTAATATTCTTTTTGCCTATGTAACTGTTGTACTTCTGCTTTTCAGAATATCTAAATGCTTACTGAAAAAAAATATGAGCTTTGGGTTAGAAAAGAATATTTATAAATCCTTTCCCAAAAAAAGCAAGTGGGAGTGGAAATTTGAAAGAGGACCGCCTAATTCAGCACTAAAACCAGTGTAAGAAGCAGTGTGTGTGTGTGTGTGTGTGTGTGTGTGTGTGTGTGTGTGGTACAAAATGAGCTTTTCAAAGGGCTGGGAGGTGGATGGAAATGTTTGCTTAGCTCCTCTGAGGAGAAGAGAAAAGGTGCTGGGAACTCTTGTTTCTTCTTTAGAATAATTTGGATGGGATTTTTGATGCAGAAAAGCTTAAAGAAACAAGAATATCCATTCTGTGTGGTGGAAAATTTCTGAAAAAATTTGCTTTCTTCAAACAAGGTATGTCTGATTTGTTACTAAGCTATGCATATAGTTGCTTTCCATCCATTATTATAAAACATTAAAATGTCTTTGCCATTAAGAAATTAGAATGCATACTTTAAGTAATCAGTCTGTAAATTTCAGTTTCAAGAGAGTTGGGATGGGAGTTGGTGGCAGTCGGCTTCCTTGTAAACAGCTACTATTATTTATACGTATGTTATAAATAATATAGATTATAAATAAATTATGCTAAAATATTAATATTAGGACTAGGGTTCCACTGTTTCTTTAAACCACCTAAATATGTTTAAATTAAGTTGAAAAGTATAACATTTTTGTAAAACTTTAAAAGAAAGATGTGTACATTTTTCTTGCCTTTTTTCTACTCTGCTTCCTACATGGACTGCAATAGCAGTATAGCAAGTTGTAATGGTGTATGAAAAGCGGTATGAGAAATGGGCACATTTATGCTAAATCAAAAGAGAAATTATTGAATGGGAGCCTTCACTTCTCTTCATTCAGGCAGATCTCCGTGGAATGTGGCTAGATGTGCAATTCTGTGTCATGTTTACTCGGGAGGCATTTCTAGGCTGAACGCTTCTGTTACTGAAAAGTCCAAGAAGGGGCTGGCTTTGTTAAGTCTACCATTGTAGCTCACCTTTGCACAGGAAGACAGGATAGAAAAATCTCTTTTAAGCATGATTTGTGTCGAACCAGTATAAACATGAAATGCCTCCAGCACAGGTTAATCAAACAGGAAAAGAATGAACAATTAGAAGTGATCTTTTGCTCCAAACACCCACAGTGTCTTTGCCATCCCCAAACCAAAGTAGTATTCAACATTTTCTTGGGGTTTATTGTAAAAATAAAACCAGGCATTCTTGGCCATGGTGGTTGTCCAAAAATGTATCCGCTAAGAAAATAGTGTTTTGCCATTACGATGTGTTGCAATAAATTTGGAAGCTTTGGTGGTAAATTTCTGAGGTTGTTTTTCCCTTGGTCTCTTGAAAGATGGAACGCCCTAGACCAAGCCAAGATCAAACAATGTTTGTTTGTGTTTTCCTCTGGGTGTATTTAGCCACAAGTGGAGACTATACCGATAGGAAAGCTGCAAGTGCCCCTCTTTTATTTATTGAATTAAAATACCCCTTTTGTAAAAGGGCTTTATACACAGAATTACAAGCCTACAAGTACTGCACTTTTAATTGCAATATGCCAATTTTCCAGACTGAACTTCATTTAAATATGCTTTACACTTTATCACTGAAAGGAAAATTGCTTAGGAATGTTGGAAATGCTTAATATCTATCTTGAAATAGAGTTTATGGATATAGTTTAGAAGATCTAATTCTCTTTGCCACCAAGGTACTGATCACACAAAGAAAAAGTTCTCTTGGGGAAATTCCAGCAGGTTTGAGAATGGTTTATGAAGAGCATCATGAGAATAAAAATGCTTGTACTGCCCTTGGCTGTGACTCCTGTGCACAGGACAGCAGTGTGGCTCAACCCAGGGTGCCAAGCCAGGAGTCCTAAATTACAGGAACAGCTCTGCTACTACCTCACCGTGCTGCCTTGGCAAAGATGTGTGATATGGCTTCAGTTTTCTTTCCCCCTTTGAAAGCCAGAAACAGCCATGCCTGCACATCCTCTCTCCCAGGTTTGTCATGAGACTCAATATTGAGTGCCTGTTCCAATAAGCCTTTGAAAACTGAAATGCATTTTCTCATAGATGCAAAACAAGATTTTGTTGGGAGCAGTCACTGGTCTTATAACAAGTGTGTGATGTCCTGTAGGATATTGCGGGGCTTGTGCCCATGAATGCAGGTTCCCCTCCTCTCACTTGGAGGTATGGGCAGCCAGTACAGGAGCGAACACAGGACTCCTCTGCTGCTAGAAAGGCACCTGGCTGGGTGACTCGATGTCCCTGTGTCTCCATTTCCTACATATGCAATGAAGCAATCGGATCAGTTAGCTCCTAAGTTTCCCTCCCAATATTTTGGTTTTGTGCTCAGAGTCCAGTAGCCCAATGTCAGGACCAACCAGGCCAATTTCATGTTTGAGATTGCAAAATGGAGTATCGAAACAGGGTTATAGAACTCATGATGTATTTTAAACACTTACATTTACCTAATTGAGGGGCAATAATGTCTATGAAAATGAAATTGACATAATATTCTTCACAAGACAAAGATTACAGTGTGTTCCTGTTCGTGTGTGTGTGTGTGTGTGTGTGTGTGTGTGTATGTGTTTCCATAACTCCATACTGTACTGGGGACAGTGTGGTCTAAGTTGTACGATAGATATTTTTCAACGTTTTGGTGCTTTCTGACTGCACAGTCTCTGTGGAGATCATAGCAAATATCTAAATTTGGCCTTTCACACAAGGCCAAGCCAGCTGGACCTCTTATGCCATGGGTCCTGTTGCTAGGAGTTGTCAGGCAGAAAACTCTACCACTCCTATGTGTTTACTTCACTAAGTTGCTTAAACGCTATGGGCCTCAGTTTTGTCATCTGTATAAGGGGCCTACTATTAATGTTGACTTCATAGAATTGTAGCAGGGCTTCAGCACCCAAATGTTAGTGAGTATTTTCTTTATTACATAAACAAAGAAACCATATCTGCTGTGAAATCATTCATTTGTAATCATCTTCAAATTTATAGGCATTAGCTCTTTGGCGCTGGTAAACACATCGACTTGTGGATTTCTAGTAGATTAATATAAACTGTATCTATATATTCGAAACTACCTGTCATCTCTTCATCCCGAATGTCTGAGTGAATCAGTCACTCAGCAAAGATAAGCAAAAGAGGCAACTTCTGTGATGGCTATAATCTGAGAATGCCTCACATTCCCCCTCAGTGCCTTACACCTCGTCTCCCTGTAGGCTGCAGGGGGAGACAGTAAAATCCCGGGCTTCCTGAACACAGACTGAGAGAGAGAGAGAGAGAAGAAGAGCATGCATGGCGCTGAGGAGAGAAAAGCTTCAGTCTTAAAGAAAATGGGTCAAGAGAGGAGCCAGATACCAGGCCAAGTCCAGATAAGAACCAGAAAGATTTATTTGGGAATGCTGGCTATTAAATTTTTAATGAAAAGAAAAAAGGACACTCACACAAATAAATTCAAGTCCATCTGGGACCCTCCGGGTGAGCTCAGTTTTCAGACAGGAAAGTGAAGGGTTGAGAAGCAAGGACAGCCCCTGAATGCCCCAAGTCACACGACCACAATGGGGCAAAGACTGTTTCTGTTTTGTTTGTGGCGTTTTCCATGGTTACTGCTTTTGTAAAACAAACAGTTGTGGATGCTGGCTTTACAATTTGTTTTTAATCAGCTAGAAAGTTTTCTACTTTACCAGGCTGCAAACCTTACAGAAACCCTTAGAGACGCTGTAGAACGCTCTGGGCTATCTGGGAAGCCCACAGAGCAGGCACCAGATGATGCCACCTCTAAAATGCATACATTGAGTCGTAATCTACAGAGAGCAAATCCTGCACAGTAGACGTGACTCAGCAGAAGTACAGTGACACACCGAGGGCCTTGTGGCCTGAGGGACAAAGGTGACCTGAGAAACTGGATGCCAAAGCCCTTTCCTGATAAAATCTGCAAGCCAGTCTCCCAACACAGAAGTATTAGTTTGCTTAGGATTCTATTTAGAGAATATTTTTATGTTTGGATTTCATTCTAACCTCTCTCTCTCTCTCGTTCTCTTGCTCTCCTCTCTCTCTCATATATTTAGGTCCACTTCTAATTCATAATTTTTCACTAGATTTTTGTTCAGTTCTGTGTAAGAATTAATAGTACATGGTATTCCACAGTCATTTAGTGAGATGGTACAACTGTCTCGAAGATTTCCATAATAATGGACTGAAGAGCCTTACAAATCTCAAAATATAAGTGGAAGGAACAAAATACAGATTTTCTCCCTTTCTAGGTGTCTTAGTCAGTTGGGAGAGCTATGATCAAGTACGGCAGACTGTATGGTTTAAACAGTAAATATTTCTCTTTCCCAGTTCTACAAGCTGGGAAGTTTGACATAAAGGCACTGCAAGATTGGAATTTGGTGAGGGCCCACTTCCTGGTTCATAGATGGCCATTTGTTTGCTATGTGGCAGAAAGAGCGTGAAACAGTCTCTGAGGTCCCATTTCCCCTTCATGATCTAATTGTCTCCCAAAGGTCCCACCTTCTAATACTATCATATTTGGGATTAGGATTTCAAAAAATTTTGGAGGGACAAAAGCATTCAGACTGTAGCAATTTTTCTTCCCAAAAAGTCCAACAATCAAGCCGTGGTGAGCTCTGGACAGCATCTTATTGACAGAGTTAGCTGGTTACTTTATCTCTGTTAGATCCTAAGCTAGTATTTAAGTGGGCCACATCTCACAAGATGGTGATGAAAATGATGATGGTGCCCATGACAGTGATGCTGACAGGGGTGCTGGCAATGATTAACTCCCATCCCAAAACATTTAACTCCTTTCATATACTAACTCATTTGATCCCAACAGAAAACATATCATGTGGGTTGCTGCTATGTCCAATACACAGCTTTTAAAGAACTGAGGCAAATGAGAAGTTAGTTAAGTTGCAGAAGGTTACAGTTACTAAGAGGTAGAGAGAGCTCAGCTTCAAATCCAAGAAGCCTAATTCCAAGCTGATCTTCTTAACCTAACAGGCGAGAGTTACACGTGGTCCTGGTTTTCCTATCACTGCCCCAAATTAATCTTTACCATGATGGGAAAGCACAGTTTTCCAGGCAAGTCAAATTTCTGAGTCTAATATTCTTCCTTGTAGTAGCGACACCTTGGTAAGAACGGTGGAAGAGGGTGGAGGCAAGGACTCACAGGACGCAGTTTGTTGAGAAAAGAGGAGTTTGTTGGGAAGGGAGGAGTTTTATTCCTGTCATTCTTCCATAACCTGATTGAAGAATCACTTTCCAAGTGTGCGGGGAGCCGGTGAGAGGCTGGGAACCGACTCCATCTTGTAGGTTGCTGAGTATCCGCCTCCGGTCTCCGAGGCAT